GCAGGCCCAGTGCCAAGATATCATCCTGTTTTTCACATAAGCCAAAATTGTAGGTATTCATATAAAATCTCAGCTTCTAAATGGCTGCAACTTATTCAAATATTTGTTTAAACTGGGCAGGCCAACAGTAAGTAGGCAGTTTGCAGTCTCTGAATTAATTTGTTTAGCTTTCTCATCTAGGACTATTATATAAATACTTTTTTAAAAAAATAATAAAAGCTATACTCATTGAGCCCTTACTTTGTGCTAGTCAATGCTTGAAGTGATTTATGTATGAATCCATTTTTTTCTCACATCCACCCTGTGATGAAAGTACCTCATAACTCCATTTTATAAAGAAGAAGTGAGGCGCAGAAAAGAACAGACGAGGTGGTGCATGTTAACGTACTTATGACACTAAACTGTGCTACAGGAACGTGAGACGGTGCTACAGTTATAAACGGGAGAAGACTTTGAAGCATTTCTGAAGAGCTGAGAGTCTAGATGTGTTCCCACTGCTGCAGAACAAACCACTTCAAAACATAGTGAATTAAAACAATTTATTGGTATCTCTTGTGGTTGGTTGTAGGAGTCAACGCGTTCATCTGGGATTTCTTATTGGGGTCGATCAGGCAGTGTAGTCAAATGGCTTCTGAGGCTGGAGTCGTGTGAAAGACTTCTTCACTTGAGGGTTAGGCACTTGGGCTGGGATGGCTACCATAGCTGGGCATCTGTTGGGCATCTGTTTCGCCACAGGACCTCTCTGTTTGGCTGGCTTGGGCTTCCTTACTGCATGGTGGCCTCAGGGTAGTGGGACATAAATTGGTGCTTCCGGGCTCCAAGAGAAGCTTCCAAGAGACAAAAAGTGAAAGTGGTGTCTATGAAGGCCTTGGCACTGAAACTGACACAGTCACTTCCCCCGATTCTATTGATCAGGGCCATCACAGAACCTGCCCAGACTGAAGGGAAGGGACATAGACTCCGCCCCTTGATGGAAGGCATGACAAAGAATGAGTAGCCATCTGTCAGAGGATGGAAGACCAAATGGATAATTTCCATTATCCCAGTGGACAGGCTCCTGCTAGGATGAGTCACTGGTAATTTCTCTCCTTGTTCTGCCTGAGTTCCACTTCCAAGCGGGTGATTGTCTAGGCCAAGGGAGGGCAGGCTACCTTGATGACAGTGCCACCAAAGACATGCATGCAATAGGGAGCAGTGAGGACTTCCCCAAAAGAAAATCAAGGCAGTCTTACTACAAAAAAGATGAATGGATGCTACAGTGGTAAAAACAATGTCTGCTTCAGGCATATATTGTTTGTTTTAAATCTGTTTTTGTCCAATGTGAGAATCTTCACACAAACCCATGCCCCTCCCCCATCCCCTTGACACTTATTCTCTGTGTCCCTCATTTTATTCAAATCACAATGTTTACTTGCAGCACTGCTAGGCAGATCTAGGCTAGGCTCTGCGTGGCAGAATCAAAGGTGAATCAGACCTGGGGCTTGCCCTCGAGTTGCTCACTCTCTAGTAGTGAGAAAAGAGAGACAGAACAGTAACATTAGAGAGAAAGAGACATAACAGGCACAGATAAAGTGCTCTGGAAATTTAGAGAAGAGATTACTTCCAGCTACATACTTAATCACATACTGCCTCGCAAAATCTCTTGTATTGTTGTCTTGCCTGGTTATTAATGCCTAAATTGTTGAACAGCAGCAAATCGGTCATGCTGAATAATTCATGGCGCTGCTCCTTCCCCTGCATCCAGATCAGCAGCTCCCCAGAGGTGGGGCTGGAGAAGGGGCTAATATCTATAGTCTTAAGAATATCACTTCGGCAGAAGACAACATCAGTGAAATGTTATCTGAATAAAGCTTATAAAAGCTCATAAACATAGACCTTTATTAGCTTACTTATATGTCTTCAATTCATTAAACAAAATAAGAAATTCGAAGATTGCTTTTCTCCATTGCTACCCCACCCCCACCCCCCACTCCCATAAAAGGAAATGTCTTTCTATTGGCATCTCCTGCTTCCAATTACTGACATCTCAGTTGGGTGTGTTCTTCCACCATCAGATATATAGAAATGCCAAATAAAGGTGATTGACCATAAGAGTAAAGCATACCTTGGTGATGGCTCTAGAAAGAACTTTTACATACAGTAATCTGAGATTTCTTCATGGAAAGTTCTTTAGTTGTGTGCCATCAGATTGTTGCCTTTTGGCATTAGTTGCAAGTCTTTCTGAAAAACATACTATGTTTTCTTTTTTTTTGTTTCTTATTTTCAAAAGACAGATGGTTAGGAAATATCTTCTTCACTCTTATAATTATTTCCTCCAGTTTTTCTCCATTAAACAGCAATTACCCTCATGCATAATATTTGCAAGTAGTTATTTTCTAGCTCCTGAAGATAATAATCACAGTGAAGGCATTCATCTTATGTACTTCATGGTTTTTCTCAGCATGAAACTTCTATTGAATAGAATTTGTAGCACAGTAACTAACCTAGATACTTAAACATGCTTGGTAGTTATTTTTTTTAAGTGGATCAAGTTTTCAGATGAAATATTTGTCTGTTTTACAAAGGGTCGTTTTCCTGGATTCTATCCAAAAGTACCTTCAAAGAAAATTAGATAAGTGACTATTGTACTTCAAATATTTTCCAAGGGAGATGTGGAATGAGAAAACTTTTTTCTTCTGGCTTAAATGATCTCATATTTACATTGTGTTAGGCATTTTACAAAATATGCAAATTATCTACTTTTTGGAGAAAAAAGCCTTCTGGATTTATTTCTGGATGCTAAGGGTATTGAAAAACAATTTAATTCCCATTACACACACACAAAAAACCACACTTTAGATAGATTTAACAAACATAAATTAAGTCATAGCAAAGTAGCAGAAAACAAGCAGTAATGATATCTTTAGAGAAATTACAACTTATCTAAACTTGGAAGCAGTAAATGAAATATCAAAGGGCGAAAATAAGAGCTTTGATGATTTGTAAATTGCAATATGAAAGATGATTTCAATAAGCAACATTATTTTACCAAAGGTCATTCATGATTAATTTAGAAGAAATTATTCTGGGCTTTTGGCATTCAGCTCTGTTCACATTTCACAACTAATTCCAAAAGCCAACGACATTAAGAACTATGCTATTTTGTTGAGTCAAAATTTGAACTGTGCCAAGAATGTGGTATGCCTGACAGAGTCCCTCACTTAAAAGTACCCTATCTGACCCCAGCACCTGAATTTCAGGGTGGCCTTGTCTTTCTCACCCTTTTATTGTGACACATTTACTCTCCAGAAGTCACATGATTAGTGGCATTTGTACAAAGGAAAGCATTCATTGCAGTGGTTTCTCTCAAATGTGGAGATTCAAAAAGGTTTCACCCAGGATGCATTTCTGGAGAATGATATCATTGCTGGGAAATTCCATTGAATGGAGATAAAAGAAAGATAAATAGAAAGTTACTAAATTTTTAGAGATATTCTCAGAATCAAGACTCTCTCTAATTGGCTTTAAGAGAATTGCAACTTTGAAAATGAATGACAGTATTCAAGGGAATCAATGCTACTGTTTAAAAAAAAAAAAAGAAAAAAAAAGAAAGGAAAAAGAAGAAAAAAAAAAAGAAAGAAAGAGACAAGGGGAGGGAGGGAGGCGCAGAGGATCCTGTCCCTGAGTCCTACAGAGTAAACAGCTGATGTGAATTCCTGACAGTGAGTCCTCTTGAATCAAATGATCTCTCTGGGCCATATTAACAATTGAGAATGACCAGAATTTCCCAGGGGGACCGTGTCCACAGTTGAGCACCTCAGGAATAATGAGCCACGCCTGCATTCCTATGTGCTGTCACATCTCCTTCCTGTTGCTCTCTGAGCTTGTCACACCCTCATCCACCCAGGCCTGGACCATCTCAGGCCCTCCAGTTGGTCTCACCAGGCTCCAGTCTGTTTCATTGCCAATCCATGAAATACTTTCCCCAGAGGCTGTTGTATAAAACTCAGGCGTGGCCATGTCCCTCCTAGCTTTAAACTACCCATCGCCTTCAAGAGACTCTTCTCAGTTCCTTATTTCAGTTCTTTTATTGTGGTAAAAACAAAAAAAAAAGAAAAGAAAAAGAAAAAAAAAGAACAAACCATACATGAAATTCACCATCTTAGCCATCTTTAAATGTACAATACATTAGTGTTAACGATATGCACACTGTGCAACAGCTCTCTAAAACTTTTTCATCTTGCAAAACTGAAACTCTATAGCTGTTAAACAACAACTCTCCATTTCCCCTTCCTCCAGTCCCTGGCAATCAGCATTCTACTTTCTGTTTCTATGAGTGTGATAACTTCAAATACCTCATACAAGGGGAATCATGCAGTATATCTGCTCTCTTGTGACTGGCTTATTTCACTTAGCATAATATCCTCAAGATTCATCCAAGTTGTGGCATGTGACAGGATTTCCTTCCTTTTTCAGGTTGAATAATATTCCATTGTATGTATTTACCACATTTACCACATCAATGGACATTTGGCCTGCTTCCACCTCTTGGCTATTATGAATAATGCTGCTATGAGCATAGGTCTACAAATATCTCTTTTGGAGATCCTGTTTTCAACTATTTTGGATAAATATCAAGAAGTGGGATTGCTGGATCATACGGAAATTCTATTTTTAATTTTTTGAGAAATTGCCTTATAGTTTACCGTAGTGGCTGCACTATTCTCTATTCCTACCACAAGTGCACAAGGATTCCAATTTTTCTACATCCTCACCAACACATCATCATCGTCATCATCATCATCATTTCATAATGGCCATCTCCTGGTGATTACTGAAATCAAGCACTTTTTCATGTTTGTTGGCCATCTGTCTATCTTCTTTGGAGAAATGTCTATTCAGGTCTGCTGTTCGTTTCTTAATCAGGAGTTTTGTTTTTCTGCTGTCAAGTTGCTGTTCCTAATTTTTAAGCACGGCCTACACCCTTAATGATCTGGTGGTAACTCTCATTTCCCTCCTCCTCTTATCTCACACACTTGTCTTTAGCAAGCTCAGTTCTGTGAGATTCCCTAATGGAGGAGCTACGCTATTATATCTCCATGTGTTTTTTCTGATGGGGTGCTCCCTTCTCAACCCCAAACACATCTTGAGTGCTAGAACAAAATCTACTTCTGAAAGAAAGAAGTCAGAAAGAAAAATTACTTGAAGGAATCACCTTTGGAAAGCCTTCTCTCACCATGCCCTGTAGCCCCCACTACCCCTTCCAATTAGAAATAAGTTCTCCCTCTTCTGGCTATCAATATACCCTGCGTGCAGAGCTGATCATGTGGGTTTGTGATTTTTATTATCTGCCTCCCTCATAAGACTATAAGCTCCTTAAAGTCAGAGCCGATATCTTATTTAATATTTGAACTCGGATGCCAAGACCAAGACTTCTCACATAATCCGTTCTGTTAAATATTTTCTGAAGGAAGGGAGGGGAGGAGGAAGAAAGTTTGGGGAGCAGATGAGCAAGCAGGCACAAGGAAATAACATACAACCAGGCTTCTCCTCTGTGATGCTCCAACTCCAACTGTGCTGCCCGGTTTTCTCTGCGCAGGACCAGAGAACCCTGAAGACCTGGCCACACATGCGACTGTGCTCAGGTCCCACCTAAACCTCTGTCTCAACTTCCCAAAGCTAACACAGCTTAGTCCTCGTAAAAGTCACCCCCTACTTTCAGTTGCAGGGCTCAAAATGGAAGTTTAGATCCAGGGACTGCAAACCGATGGCCCAGTGCAATCAAGCAAATACACTCATCAAATCTTGGATTATTGAGAAAACTGTTGTTTATGCAGCATTATACCATGCCAGCCACATTTCAACCTCTATTCAAGGCTTTGAGAAAAGTATTATTACCCTCACTTTTCAAATGAGGAAAACGAGACCCAGTAAAGGAATTAATCAAGTTTATTTTTTTAATGCTAAGGCCATGTTCTCAGTATTAAACCATGATACCACAAGGTTAGAGTCTTTTTAGACATACAGTAGATGAAGTTCATTGTTTTGGTAATTATTTATTAGATTATCAGCTATATGGTTCATAGACTTAGAGTCTTTTAGACCTGTGAGATACCTTAGAGAACATCTAGGCTATCCTCTTAATTTACAAGTGAGGAAGCTGACAACTTGACATGATTTGTAAACTGTACAGTAAATAGAATGATAAAATAATGCTTTGTAGAGATTTTTTCTATTTCGTTTTTAAGTTTTTTTTTCTGCATATAAAAGCAATGCAAGATCAGTGTTGAGTCTATAGCCATGCCACCCTAAATGTACCCGATCTCGTCAGATCTTGGAAGCTAAGCAGGGTCGGGCCTGGTTAGTACTTGGATGGGAGACCACCTTAGGAAGACCAGGTGCTGTAGGCGTTATTAAAAAAAAAAGATCAGTTTCAAAAAAAAAATTAAAAGTTAAATAAATTATGAAATTAAAAATAATCCTCATATTTCAATAATGCTAACACTTATGGATAGACATGGTTTTAGACTTAGTTTATTTGTACCTTATTTTAGGCCTTAGAGAACAGTTCTATTTATTAGATGAATGGTTATATACTTGTATATAAACACATACATTCATGTATAATTAGTTGATATTATAGTCTTTATAAAATATTATCTTCTCACTGAATATTACTAATATTTTGTTATTTATTAAAATTTTTAATAAATAGTCTTAAATTGTGGAAAAGATTTTCACCATAATCATAAAAGTAATACTTTCTCACTGGGGAAAAATTTTTTAAAAATTATAATTCTAAGTAAAAAATATCTATTATCCCATCACGAAGAGATAACACATTAACATTTTGGGTTTTTTTGGGAGGGAGACTGTCTTTTTGCTTTGTTTGTGTATGTGTGTATAATCAAGACAAATGGAACAGACATTTTAAATCTTTGATATGTTTTGCCAGATTGCTTTTTAGGAAATTTGTTTTAATTTAAACTAACAGCATCACCGAATGAGAATGTTCATCTCACAGTATCCTCACCAACTTTAATTATTACATTTAAAATTTTTGCTAATTTTTTAGTAGGAAGAGGGTCATGAATGTGAACTTATAAAAATATTGATTATTGTGAAAATTATTGCTTATAGTTCTTATTTTATGAAGCAAATAAGATTAAGTATATAACATTAAGAGCCCTGCATAACTAAAATCTAGTTTACATCATGCCTACTTAGACTATTTTAAACCAATGTAATAATGGCTTAAAAACAATTTTGCAAAACTGGATTATATTAAATTAAATCTAAAAAATAAGAAAGTACTAAAAAAGGCAGGTCAAAGAGCCTCAAGTAAAACTTTTATAAAAGAGGGAAGGCAGCATCTCTCCATAATCTATTTATTTATTGTCTCTTTTTTTCCCATCTTGTTTCCAAAAGGGGAGTCAACTAATACATGGCTATATCAGCACAATGGGAACAGTCAGACCCCACTCGCAATCAGAATTTCTTAAATGTTCTACCTGGGCATCTTTTAAAGCCACTTCTCATTTGGAGGGATATTCATCAAAGTCACAATTCACAGAACACTAGAGTTAGAAACCTAAACACCTTCAGAAAAAGTTTCATTTCTAGTCCAGTTACTACTTTCCTAAGGCTCCACAATACTATCGTTTGTGCCCTTCCTGTTCCTTTGTACCTGAATTGTTTTAAATAAATATTTATGTCTTAAATTTCTGGTATGAAATACATGCCGTTGTTGGCCCTAATATTGTGACTACACTGTCTGTTGAAGGAGAAGGGAACTCATATTTGCGGAATGTGCAGAGTCCATAGCCCTGGGAAGGTCCTTTGCCCTTCTTGAGGAAAGGCATTGCAGGTTTGTGATGCCAGTGTGTACGTCTGCCCTGCCCCGCCCCGCCATTCCCTCACTCCGCACCCCACCACACACCGCCTCCCCATCTCTAGATAACTATGTGAGATAAACCTGGAGAAGGAGTGAGAGTGAAGTGGAAATGTTTGGATTGTATTTCATAAATATCAAGATGCATGGGAGCAAAGGCAAAAATTTGGAATCTATTACAGCATGTGAATGCAATATGATGCTGTCATTATTGTTACCATCTGAAAAATGAAATCCCTTCATACTGAATGTGTTTTGTTACTTGTCAGTGATTAAAGCTATCATTGTTCTGAGGCCTTTGTGTTAGGAATGCATGATAATCATGATAATGGAGGCATGGAATTCAAACTCTTTCTCCCAGTCATTCAAGGACTTACATAACAGTGAACCAAACCACCTTTAAAGCTTGATTGCTCCCCTGTGCAAAGCTTTGTTACGGGAAAGCTGGTTACTCAAGACTCCCTCCCCACTTCCATGCTTTGTTAGTGTCCT